AAGTCCAGAAAATACTGTTTTTTTTACGAGTAGACTAAATTCTTGGCCGAGCCGTAGGCGAGTCCAAAAAACTGTTTCTGGACGTGTTGCTTACACTATTTTTTCGACAACCATGTAGAATAACAAATCAATAAAGACACATTTCCGTATTATATTTCTTTGTAGAATACAATTTATACTTTATGAATTTTCATTTGTATCAAATACTGAAATTTGAACAGAACCTATACCTATAGTACCTGTTAAATTGAAAATTTCGTATGGACATTTTCAAACTCACTATCGCTGATGCTTTCGATAGTATATTGCGATCAATGCAACAAAACTTTCAAAAGTCAAAATGTCAACTAATTTCATGTCAAATAGCTGTCAGCTGATATTTCTCTGCTATATAGTGTCATTCATAAAGTCGGCATCATATGGGGAAAACTGGACGTTGAGTTTTGCTCAAAAAAAATGAAAAATGATCTACTCAATCGCGGTCACGTGACTTTCGCTACATGTCAAAAGTGACATTTTTTCAAATTAATCGCTGAAAGTGGGCTTATTTGTTCGAATATCGAAAAAGTTCACATAAAAAGGTTGTTTCTATTCAAATTTTACATATTTGACTCGAATTTTATCTTTCTATTACATTTTTTAGAATTCGATATTTTTTAAAAATTTTCGAAATTTCTGTAATATTAAAAAAATTGTAAATTCGATAAAACTACTTCATACCAGTAGCTTCATCATGCTACAAACTTTCAATTACTAATTATCACTAATTATCGACAAAAATCTGATTTTCTTCAGAAAATGATAATCTCCGCTTCAAAATTCTGTTATGTTTGATGCAAACATAACATCAAAATTCTGTTATGTTTGAGTCAAGCATTTAGGAACGAAATTATTTTAAATTTATTTTTTCAGTACTGAAAAGATCAGTTTGAATGAATGTCGTTTCTAAATGCTTGACGATATATCAACTTTGCATCAAACATAACAGAATTTGGAAGCGGGTTTTATAGTAGAGTGCCAAACGAACCGTAAGTCGCTTAGATCAAAAGTTGGTGGGAAATCGGAGGTAAAAAGCTGTGACATGGCTAGAATTGTTACCTACCATCTCCAGATCATGGATCCACTTGTCGTCAAAAAATCGTCCTGTGCGTTTGGGGGGTAGGGGGTAATTTATAAAAAAATATGGATTTTTTTATTCTTGGAAAATATTGACGGGTTCCAGAACTTCAACCCTGTCGAATCTTGATTTCGTGTGACAAGTAAAACAAATTATAGAAAATTTTGAAATTCACCAATTACATTACGATATATGAGAAAATCATATTTCAAACGGCTATAACTCGAAACTTGTAAATTTTCGTTAAATTGCTTTTCATATACCTCGAATTATCTCAGTAACTATAACGTTTATCGAAAAAATACTCGAAATAATGTCGATGCGCCTATGTTTCAAGATGCGAATGATTCTTCGATTTTGAAAATCGAAGCATAAATGAGGAAGATATTGGGAAAATCATAATACAATGCAGGTAGTACGAAGGACGGCGACTCGCCGCTTTCATACCCCGATTCTCCCCGCAACGCCCGCAGCCGTCCTAGTACGATCACCGTAAATATGAATTACTGAGTGTTACAGAATATTACGATCTTGGAATTCACGGGAGAAATGGAATTGATCGCTATTTTCAAAGTTAACAGAAATTTATTTTAACTTGCTATTTGATTGGAAGTGCCCTCCATTTATTTTATGAATGATTCTATCTCGAAAGTACATTTCTTATCCATCAGAGTATATAATGTCAACCATCTCATTTATAAACAAATTGACAAAAATATTGAAACAAAACATGATGCATATAATATTGAAATAAAAATAAGATATCCTTGTGGATACTTGAAAAAAACATTATTTGATACCTATCGAATTGCGAAGTTGTAAATACACGTAAATACGATACAGTGTCCACAAGAACACAAAGCTACGATAATTTTTCTCGATCATGTCTCTTGATGAATCATTATTCCCAAACCAACGTGTTTCGGTGGGAGTTTTTTGAATTTCGAATTAGCGAGTATTATACCTTGACATCAGATACTCAACACCTTTGAATCAACTGAATCAACTTTATCGTGTATAAGGCAACTAATTTAAAAGAAGTTTTTTGGTATCATATCCTTGTAAGCCTTGAGATCCATATTTTTGAGTTGTTTATAGTCTGGAATATCCGAGGGAATATCTCTCATATCTTGATAAATATCTCGGAAAAAATTGTGTATCTGGGTCATATCTGATGCATACAAAGTTAGGGGAGTTATCTTCTGTAATTTCACTTTGTTCTTTATATGTGTATGAATCAGATGAGTTTTTGTCACTTTTGGAATCACAAATTACGACTCATTAGAATGTTTTGATTTATTTGATAATTTCTATTTCCTTGTCGTAGTGCTTCTTGATTTCTTCAATAAATTCATTTCTCGAGATTTTCTCTCCTCGTTTCTCTGGACGTTTCGGGAACGAATCTGCTCCCGTTCTCAACATAAGGATGCAAAACATTTTTCTTTGGAAGTTGCATTTTCATGTTGAGAACGGGAGCAGATTCGTTGCCGAAACGTCCAAAGAAACGAGGAGAGGAAATCCCAAAAAATCAAGTAAAATTAATGTTTCACCTTCTCGATTAACCTACAGACAGTAATCTTCGATTAAAATTTTCCTACCAGTTTTGCCACCAAGTTTGGCATATTTTTGATATAAACAGTTGAAAGTATACCCTTTTTCATTAGAAAATCTGCACCATCTATTAATTTTATCAGATTATCAAATTATTTGTCATGATTGTGTGGTATGACAACTTTATTCTCACTCAGTGATCCTCGAGGTGATCCTCTATAATGTTTCCAATTCGATACGAAGCATTGGTTATGATACTTGACTTCCATGGCAATAAACAATATTGGTAGTCAATACTAGGTCGAAACTTGACTCTTATTTGAACGTTTTTGGTAGAAAATTCTTTTAGACACATCAAAAATACCTTCACATCAATTTCACTATAGAAAGCGTTTTATTCCTGACATTATTGTCTCCAGTTTTCAATATTCCTGTGCCAGAAGATCGATTGACCTTTATTTTCATTGAAAATATCATCAATTCTCTGAAGTTCCATATCGATTTGCCTCGCATAGTTTTTCCCGAGGTTTGTTCTTATATTCATACAACTTTCAAATGTTTTTATCGATAATTCTGTACAACGAAGGAGTTGACCATTTTTTCCACAAATAAAACATTTTCTCGATGATTCTGTACTCTGCTGGAAAGGAATCTTCAACTTCAAGACATATTCAAGATCAGTGTCTGAATTGCTAGTACTTTCCATCTTTTATCTGGAGAAACATATATTTTATGATAAATTTACAATAATAGATTTCGTTAGCTAATCAATACTTATTTAATTATTGAAACAGAGCACACAGTACCAAATATCGAATAATTGATTCACAATAAGTCACCATTAAATGCAATGGTCAACGCCTCAATGTTGATGTGTATAACGAAAGCGTATGGAACCATGATAGCCGCGGGTATTGCGGGGAGAATAGGGGTACGAATGCGGCGAAACGCGTTCGTCCGTTGTACCTGCATTGCATTATGATTTTCTCAATATCTTCCTTATTTATGCTTCGATTTTCAACATCGAAGAACCATTCGCATCTTGAAACATAGGCGCATCGACATTACTTGAAGTATTTTTTTGATAAACGTTGTAGTTACTGAGATAATGCGAGGTATATGAAAAACAATTTAACGAGAATTTACAAGTTTTGAGTTATAGGCGTTTGAAATATGATTCTCTCATATATCGTAATGTAATTAGTAAATTTCAAAATTTTCTATAATTTGTTCTACATGTCACACGAAATCAAGATTCAACAGGGTGGAAGTTCTGAAATCCATAAATATTTTCCACGAATAAAAAAAAAATCCATATTTTTTCATAAATTACCCCCTACCCCCCAAACGCACAGGACGATTTTTTGACGACAAGTGGATCCATGATCTGGAGATGGTAGGTAACAATTCTAGCCATGTCACAGCTTTTTACCTCCGATTTCCCACGGGGTGAACGATAGGATTCGATTGGCACTCTACTATTATAATTTTCTGAAGCAAATCATATATCTGTCCGTAATCAGTGATAATAAGTAATTGAAAGTAAGTAGCATGAAAAAGCTACTGGTATGAAGCGGTTTCGTGGAATTAACAATTCTCCAAATATTACAGAAATTTCTCAAAACATAAAAAAAAAGTCAAAATCTAAAAGTTGCAATAAAAAGATCAAATTCGAGAAGCATGTGTAAAATTGAAATAGAAACAACTTTTTCAAGTAAACTCTTTCGATATTCGAACAAATAAGCCTACTTTCAGGGATTAATTTGAAAAAATGTCACTTTTGAAATGTAGCGAAAGTCACGTGACCCCGATTGAGTAGGCCATTTTTCATCTTTTTTGAAGCAAAACTCAACGTCCGACTCGAATTCCAAAATAAGTCATTAATAAAAGTTTTTCCCATATGATGCCGACTTTATGAATGACACTGTATATGGTAATTATCACAGACATATTATAATATGTCTATGGTAATTATCATCGCATCATGAGAAGATTCGAGTCAAGATTGATATTGCTTTCAGTTGTCTGTGGCGACATCTACCGAAGTATAGAATAACCTTGTGAAGGAATCTGTATAATTACTCATGGCACAAAATCTCTGTTTGAAGTAAGTATTGAGATTTCTCCTCTGGCCAAGTGATGGAGATAGGAGATTTTGGCTTTGTTACACCAAAAGTCCATGGTTCGAATTCTAATTTCACCTGCTATCATTTGATATAAATTATTTGTTCGGGATTATTAGTATTCCATGTTATATTAGTTTTGCTTCCTATCAAAGGACACCGATTTCTAAAACGATTTGAATTCAGAATAGAATCGTTGTGATTGGTCTAAGAATGCATTCGCACCGAAATTCATGGTTGTTTGAACTCCTGCTAGTTAATACAGTTTTATGTGAGTTGAGTATTCATTCTGTGTTTGTTTTTTATGGTTTCTCTGACTGGTGTGTTCTGGGAATCACACAGGATGAGGAGACGCAAACAAAATATATTAATCATACCAACAGTGTTGCCGATAAGACGCAAAAAGCGCAATATTTGCGGTTTTTGACTGTTTCGCGTCATTGCGATTTTTTGTGAATTTGTGCTTCTTCTATTATATACAAATATGTATATATTATCTTCTATTACCGGGTGTCGACGAATTTATTAGACGAGTCATAACTTCTAGAATATCTATCGGGGGTATCGAAATGAGATCTGGTATACCGGGTGTGACACAGGAGACATGTAGCAGTCTGTAGTTTTTTTATTTGAAGAGATCGAATTTTGAAATTCACAGGAGGTATATAATAAATGGTAGCGCACTTTATGAACTAAACGACAATTTTTTTCAACGACCTGTTTGACCGGAAGTGACCCCAACTTTGTTTTTTCAAATGTCACCCTGTACATTTCTTCAGTCTATCTTTTTTGTCTTGAAATTCTCTATCCATTCCAACCATGTATCACAAAGTGGCATTTATTTCTTAATTCGCTGTTGAATTGCTTTTTATTCAAAAAGAATTCTTCACTTTTCGGTCGCTTCCAGTTTTACCGGAAAAAGCTTCGGATTTCAATTTCTGATTGAAGCGGCCTGTATAAGTGTAACCGTTGATTGATATATTACGCTTACGCTGGGCGTTGATTGATATATTACGCTTACGCTGGGAAGATGCCCAACCTTATGGGGCAAAACGAGGTCCAAAAAAATCTCACAACTAGATGGCGTACCATAGTTCGAAATCTCACATAGTGGCGGCGATAGTGTCGAACGATGTCGGAGCAATACTTCGTAATTTGACGGGCAGGTGCGCCACTTACGAAGAGAATCTATTGGAATGCAGATGGCGTGCGACTTGGAACAATTAAACAATTCATAATCCGGAACGCTTGTATCGAATCCATGATCAATCAGTACGATTCTAACTAATATGGCGGTAAATTCGAATTTGTTAGTAATAGTTGTATTTCTTTTATTCGTCTGAGGCTTCCAACGAGCGCATCACGGACGTGAGATCATGAAAAAAGTTTATAGAAATCGAATTGGAGTGAATCACAAAATTTAATGTCTCAACAATGAATGCTTCCATTTTTGGCGATTGTGGAATAAACTGGTCAGCGGATATCAATATATAAGCTGCTCATAAATTTGATTGAAATTCACGAACCCGGACCAGTGTTGTCACCTTAGTGTATTTTACCCTAGAACTGAATCTAAATGGGTCTGTTTGAGTGGAATTTCATATTTCATTATGTCGAATTACTAAATCAAACGATAATTCACTGTCGCAAATCATTTTCTGGTTAGAGCCATGTACAATTTTTGAAATTTTCATTATTGAAATTACTGATATTTATTATCACATGAAAAACGCGGAACATTGCGTGACAATTCTATACCGCTATCAATCCAAAGTATTTTATACTGGTATATGATCCGACCTATGTATTGCCGAAACTTGGAGTGCCAATAATTTCCTTTGATTTTTGTGGGGCGGCCGACTCGGTGAGTTTGTCGGCGATAGGGCTGACAAGCCTTCCTTTGTCGCCCTAACAACACAAGTACATCCTAGGGACTTCCCAGGGACGTCCCTAATTTTATACAAGGACATCCCAGAGATATCCTTTGTCGGGACAGTGTACATACTAGGGACGTCCCAGGAACATCAGCTGGCTGACAAAAAAAGCATCCAAGGGATTTCCGTCTGGTACGTCCCTGGGATGTACCAAGTACGAAGAAATGATATCCCTAGGAGGTCCCAACGATATTCCAGGGACATCCCTTCGACAAAAGAAGAAATGTAGGTCGAGTAGGGTTTGAACCCGGGACCTTCAGCTTTTTCAGGCACGCACCTTACTCCATTGGCTGATATGCCTTCTGAAGATTTATGTACCAAACAGATTTTTAAACAGGACCAAAGTGCAGAAACCTGAATAAATACAACTCTGTTATTAGGATTCGGGTATAATTATAAAATGAGGGGCATTATGCATTTACGATTTCTGTTTGCGAAAAATGGTAATTTCTTGAGAAGTTCTGACTTTTTTTATTTTCATTACAATTATTTACCGGAAAAAAACCAAACATTTTCATAAAAATTCAACTCAATAATCTCAATATTTTGATGAAAGTTAATGACTCTGATGTGAATAGATATCAGATATACCAAGGACACGAATTGGATAACCTATGGATGTGCGGGACATTCCCTGGATACCCCAATTATGTCCTTGTACCGTGTGACAAAGAGGGGAAGTACCTATCCTATAGTACATCCCTGTGTTGTTAGGGCGGAGATTCTGAGCGTTCCGTAGTCTGTACTCCGTTGTTCTGGAGCGGCAAAATCGATTCTACTCAGAAAAAGTTACTGCAGGTATCACAAAATATCAACGCCGATTCCATGATTATATGGCATATAGACTGGAAATGCAGCTGTTTTCTGTTGATTTTGTTTTTATCTCTTCAAATATACCAAAAAAGAATTCATATTTTTCAGCAACTAGATACTGTGAAAAATGGTTCATAAGCTTTGCAGCATCAACTCTTGTAATCCAATAAATAAATGAATTCTGTATATGTTCCAATAGTTAAGACTCACTCTGTATATTATGCCTATTATAGATTATGTATTTTTTTTCATTTTTATAGTGAACCATTAACAATCAAAGATTCAAAGATATCTGACTATTTATTTTCGATCTACTGATGAGACTCTGAGAAATTATCACATTCAGATTGATTATATTATGAATATTTTGTAATGTCTTATTAATACAAAACTTTAAAATGGATACAAATTGAGTAAAAAAAATAATCAACGAAAAAGGCGTGAGATGTTTTTCCAGATAATATACAAATTATATTGGTAAAGTATGACAAGTTATTCACAAGGGAATTTAAAAAAACGTCACGGAGTAGGATCAAAAACCTAATATTCTTTGGTAGGATCGTTGATTGATATATTACGCTTACCCAGCGTAAGCGTAATATATCAATCAACGGTAGGATAGTAGGAACCGAAAACGACCGAACTGAAACTGAGTGAGAGATCATAATATGTTCTTCTCTCTTCCGCAAGGAACCGAGGAAAAAATCAATACTGTCCATGGGATTCACCGACCGTAGCAAACATTTTTTTATCGGAAACGGTCGGGCGGGTCGGGTCTCATCGTAGAAGACAAGGATAAACAAAAATTTCTGGAGCGATAGCACGCGGTGGGATGGGATCTGTAATTCTGTACAAAAGTGTAGTAATCTGTACAATTAGTTCAGACATGTTCTGTGTGCCTAGTGGAGTCGCTACCTCACAGTGGCTAAACGATAGACGAGGGGATGAGAGGGGCATCGACTCGCAAATAACACAGGTTGGGCATCTTCCCAGCGTAAGCGTAATATATCAATCAACGGTGTAACCGTGTAACATTCTTGGTCGCCATATGAAAAATAATAGTTTGACAGAAAATCTGTCCAACTAGTCTTTATTCGTATCTATCATATTCAGTCACTAAATAAACTGCATCATGGCCAACTAGAGAATTCCAAAAAAGTTACGGTATACAGGGTGTTCAATTATTTAATACAAAACCGGAAGTGATCGTTAAGTGAAAAATATGCCAAAACTCTCCTCTTCACATTCCATTCACCACCAAATTTGATTTTGATAAACCTCATATACCTATTCTAGAAGATTTGACTTGTCTATAATAGATTCCCCAGACAGCATTGGATATTCCTAGAATGTTCTCCATATATGCTAAAAAAGAAGAACATATTCCGAATATCCACCGAATATTACAAGAATATTATACTGGCCTCTGGAATATCCAATGAATATTCCGATGTGTATATTTCAGTAATATTCCAAAATAATATAAAAGGAATATTCCATTAGGAATATTCAAACGAGAAAATTGAATTCTTTAGGAAATATTCAGGTATGAATATTCCAGGAATATTCCCAACTGAATAATCTGTGTTATATATCCATGGAATAATCCATGAATATTTCCATGTTCAAATGTTCGAAACCAGCAGAAGCATGCGCAGTTTCACAGAACTCAATAAATGTTCATGCATTTACAGTTCATTGAAACTGCGCATGCTCATAATGGTTTCGGCCTGTGCCTGTATACCTATTTTTTGAACTCGAACGAACCCATAGAAATCAGTGCTTCATTTTCATATATTGACGAGTAGAGTTCCCCGCACCGGCAACACTGTAAACCATTGCGTGCCAAAAGATAACAACATGGAAGCAAGTCGAGACTAGCGTTGCCAGACCTACTATTTTAACAGTAGATCTTCTGTTTTTGTCTCCGGTTTACTGTTCAAGGCAATGGTTTGAATGGTCATGTTTTGATATGACATAACTACCTGGAAGAAGACGTACGATAAAAATATACTGAAATTATCATATTCATATAAACATGATTTTTTTTCGTTCATTATGAAGGTTTCTATGTTTTTTTCATTTATAATAGCAAATTGTGATGATTATCAAAATCTACTGTTCAGTTTCGATGATCAACTATTTTTTGCTCACCCATCCACTGCTCCGGCAAATTCTCATCTGGCAACACTGGTCGAGACTCGAGAGTTGAGAGGTTGAGTCATGTAAAAGCGTAAACTACGTCAGATAGTTGAAGTTGAAGACGGCTTTGACTGTGGCATTGTTCAAGCTCAAGCATCACAAACAAACTACACTGAGTGTTGAGATGATATAAGAAATTGCCTGATAGATGCTGATCGAGAGTGATAGGTAAGACTTTTATAGTACCTATTTACTTATTGTTTAAAATTCATTTTGGCCAAATTCTAAACTTTCAGTTAAAATGGATAGAGTAGTTAAACAGTTCAAGAGAGTTTCTTTGAGAGAAAGGAGAGAAACATTCGCTCCTGTGAAAATTAAGAAAGACTCAGGAATTATAAAAGCCTTATTCCGCCATAGCAAGATGTACTATAAGTGGCGTAACGTTAACTTTGATACTCCATATACTGTTGTCAAAGTACACTCAAATTCCAAAGATTATACAAAAATTATGCGAGATTTCGAGGAATACTTGACAGCAGATGTGCACAAGATCGTCAGGGTCCAGAATCCATTTCTTTATCTTCAATACGAGCTCAAAATGAAACAGAAAAAATACATTCACGGTAGTATCACGAAAAGTCGGCTCTACCATGGCACGAAAAGTTGTAATGTCAAATCTATTTGCCAAAGGAACTTCGATTGGCGTAAACTTGGAGCTAGTGGTTATAGGCCAGACAAATTTGGCAAGGGCGTTTCGTTTTCACCATATTCCTCGTATGCCTCGGATTACCCAAGAAATTTTTATGAGGACCCACGAATCATGTTTTTGGCTAGTATAATGGAGGTATCAAGATGCCAGGGCAAAAATGGTATGTTAATTCCTCCCATACCTCATGATACCTCTGCAGACCTCAGACATGATAATGTAGTGGTGAAATATTTTGATAATGAATTCTATCCAGAATATATAATATATTATAGCCTATATGAGGAGGAGGAGGAGGAGTATGAGGAGTATGAGGAGTATGAGGAGTATGAGGAGTATGAGGAGTATGAGGAGTATGAGGAGTATGAGGAGTATGAGGAGTATGAGGAGGAGTATGAGGAGTATGAGGAGTATGAGGAGGAATATGAGGAGTATTGGGAGTAAATATCAGTGACCTATATTTTTGATAATGCTATTTTATTTTTTTATCTCATACCAATCTACTAGACAAGCCATAGCCATAACTTCTAGAATATTGGGTGTATCAGAATGAAATTTGATATGATTATATTCATGGTATTCGAACAGGAATGTTTTCGCATATTTTTCACTTCCCGGACACTTCCGGTTCCACCCACTCTGTATATTATAACATTTATTGTTTCTGACACCATTCTGAATCAGAATATGACATTTCCAGACATTTTTACGCCTACTTCGTTATTTCAGAGTCACTTATAATATTGCATCTAGGTGATTAGATGTAAACTTATCTGATAACCTCAGGTGATGTCAGAAAGTTATATTCACGAAATTTTAGAGACTAGTATCAGAGATAGGAACAAGACAAGTTGATAAAATTACATTCCCGTATTATTTTTCAAATGGTATCCATATTTTGACAAGCACTTTCCAAATGAAGGATTTTTTAATGAATTTAATCGATACTAATTTATTTGCCATTGGACCGGAAATAACATCGATTCAATAATACTGAGGAAAAGACTTGATATATTTATTTATTCACATTTGTCTAGTGTGCCATGGATAGTCATAATGCATAATATTTTGCAGGTACTTTTTTTTAGTCTTCTTTGGAAAACAAAACACTCAGGTAATGACAATGACGTAAAAGCGGTATGAGCTGACAAAATTAAAAAGTTTCTTTATTATCGTTAAATTCCAGTTTAATTGCATGCATCAAAGATCCAGTATTTTCCTTCGTAGTATTAAATTCATGTTTTTATTTTCAATCCAATCGCAAATAAATGAGTATCGGATTCGTGAAAAAATATTTTTTCGGTGGTTGCCATTAGAAAAATAACAGTTAGACAAGGAACTGTTATTTTGTCAACTTCTCTTCTTCCTGTCTATCATACTACTTAGTCACTAAGACCACAGTTGAGAGAATATTACAGTGCTAAAACTTTGTAATTATAATTACCTGATGAGGTCCTTAGACATGCAATAAGGTACTTTAAAAAAATGGAGTAGGCGTGAAAACTTCTGGAAATATCATATTCTGATCCAGAATTGTCTCGGGAATTCAAAATAGTTATGATATACAGGGTGTTCAATTAAAATAATCAAAACCGGGGCCATTTCCGGTGAAACCGGAAGTGACCGGTAAGTGAAGAATATGCGAAAAATTTCCTGTTCACATACCATATACCCATATTTAATTTTATTTTGATCGAATATTTTAGAAGTTACGGTTTGTCTAATAAATTAGTTGACACCCGTAGATAGGTATAAATGCGTTCACATCAGGGGACGTCTAGAAATGTATTAGAAATCAGAATATCATTTTTTTTTATTACAACACAGTTCTCTTCAGGTAGGTATAAATGCATTCACATCAGGAGATATAGAAATGTATTAGAAATCAGGATATAAATTTTTTCTTGTTGTACATACAACACAGTTGTATTTCTCTTCAGTGCTTTATATTGTTCAGGTTAGTTTAGGTTGGTTAAGTAATGATGGTTATGAGTTTTTTTATTATTAAAAGTTAGAAGCTTTTATTTAGCTTGTATTGTATGTTTGTATGTATGTATGTATGTATGTACAGTGTGTCCAGTTTTCGATGCTTTTGCATGATATCTCAGTTATCTTTGGAGATACAACCTTGCGGTTTTCGCGGTCCTGTGCTACTTTTTTGTGAAACTCAAGATGGCCTAATCAGATTTTGCATAACTGTTTGCGTTTATGAGATACAGGGCGATTTTGAAAATTTATACTTTTTGGACCCCCTCTATATCTACGAAGTTTATCAGCGAAAATGTCAAATTAAAATCTTAACCCATAGAGAATTTTATGCAGAATCCAGTGGCGCACAAACATTTTTTTTTCGGGGTGTGGTTTTGAAGATACGACTCAAACTTATGATTTTTTTAATTGAACACCCTGTGTTTTACAGGCTCATTAAATTCCTTATTTTTTTCCCTTCGAAATGATATGTGATGTATGAATATAACATTTTCAAAAATGTTCAAAAATCACTAAAACATTGAATTTTAATAGTGGGCTATGGGTTTTTCGAGGGATTTTCATATAAAGAAATTTACAATTGAAGGAATATTTCCTTTGATTGTTCCATGAAGGAGAAAATAACAATTTCAACACTAATTAACTTGCAATACACAAAACTTAGATACCTGATATCCACAAATATATAGTGATAAAAATGTATAATGTAGAATAAGCACCTGATTGAATATTTACTAAAACAATTGAATTTCAGGTACCCAAGTTTAGTGTTTTGTTAATTAATAAGTGTTGATATTGGTTTTGACCTCTCCATGGAAGAATTTGAAGAAATATTTCTTCAATTGGAACGTTTTTTATAAGAAAAATCCATAACCAACTATCAAAATTCAATATTTTAGTGATTTTGAGCAATTTTGAAAATTTTATATTCATTCGTTATATATCATTTTGAAGAGAAAAAAATGAGGAAACAGTCTTGCAAAATCTGATAAGGCCATCTTGAGTTTCACAAAAAAGTGGCACAGGACCGCGAAAACCGCAAGGTTCTATCTCCAAAGATAACTGAGATATCATAAAAAAGCATCGAAAACTGGACACACTGTACATATGTTCGGGTGGAATCTTTGAACTCAATTTTGAAGTAGAAATCTTCAACCGATTGAGCTGAAATTTTGTATACACGTTCAGTTTGGATGACAATGCACGATAAGGTGTGTCACGTTATTCTAAATCCAATATGGCATACTATCCAAGATGGCGGAATAGCTATTTTTGATATACTTTTACAATATGGGTATCTAATGGAAGGGCTCGTTGAGAGTAACTCGAAAAATTTTTAATCTACTTCTACAATATGAGTATCAAATGAAAGGGCTCGGTTGGGAGTAATTCGAAAAATAATGTGACGTTATTCTAAATCCCATATGGCGGACCATCCAAGATGGCGGAATAGCTATTTTTAATATACTTCTACAATATGGGTATCAAATGAGAAGGCTCGTTGAGAGTAACTCGAAAAATGATGTGACGTCATTCTAAATCGAATATGGCGGACCATCCAAGATGGCGGAATGGTCATTTTTAATATACTTTCTACAATATGGGTATCAAATGGAACGGCTCGTTGAGACTAACTCGAAAAATGATGTGACGTCATTCTAAATCCATCATGGCGGACCATCCAGGATGGCGGAATGGTCATTTTCATTATACTTCTACAATATGGGAATCAAATGAAAAGGCTCGTTCGAAAAATCCAGCTAGCGATAACTAAAAATTGAAAAATAAATTAAAAGAAAAAAACTTTAATAAAAAGCTTCAATTTAAACGCTCAACAGAGAAGAAAATAACATTTTTCTTAATAATTGTAACTATCGATAGAATCAAGGAATCTGCTTGCATTTTTCTGAACGGAGACAAGAGCATTGCTTCTTGTTCAGTTGATATAGACAGAACATGCTATTCACTACTGAAATCTGAAAATGGAAAATGGTAAATTCAAGATTAATTAATGAAAACGTCCTGTAACTCATTTGATTGCCAACGTCATCAATTATTGTCACTGAGAACTGAAAAGTTTCAAGACAGATACGAATTTGCTATTCAAATAACCATTTTTCATGTTGAAAACGGGAGTAGAGTCGGTCCCGAAACGTCCAAAGATAATTGAAAATTCGATATTTTTTCTATATACGTTTATTCCTCGTCTCCAAACTTTTTTCAATACAAATTGTCACTGACAAGCTAGTGAATTTTTCTTTTAGGCTCTCTGATAGGAAAATTCTTTAAACGCAGTGACATTTTGGGGCAAATCATTTGATTTGTCCTGACTACACGTATATTGAAATAATATTCATATTTTTACTTTATAGAAACGAGGAAAGAAAATCCCCAAAAATTTGGAATAATGAAAGTACCACCTCCTCGATTAACCTACAGACAGTATTTTAGTAAAAATTTATTTAGGTAATCTCATGATTCCAGATGATAAGCTCCTTAAACAATATGTTTTGGATCTATATGCAAAGAGAAGAACCTATATACTATTCTTTGCTATATGGCTCCAACATCTCTACTCATCCGGAACATTCTACAGAAATCTGATTCTAGGTAATAATCTATCTAGGTTTCAAACAAAAAACGATTCCTGAAATGACACCTGAACCTCCTAGAGCTGTGATTGTGGCAATACTCCGATGATTCGATCTCCCTCATCAAATGAAGTAATCTGTCTTTTTCTCCTAAGAAAACAGTGGTCAAATTCCTTATTTTCATAGACATGATCAATTAGCTTTACACAATAACAATAAAACACAGATAAACAACAAATATTTCTTCTTTCGGATACAAAATGCATATTACTGAGTAACCTGATAGGTATATAGAGTGAAAGAAATAGGAATTCGACGTCATTATGACGTAGCTGCCTCCCACCACCTTCAGGTAGTGTGAATGAAATATCCCTAGGGTGTCTCGAAGGTCTGGGCTGTGATCTCCGCTCCGTGATCTCTATGAGTTATGGGATTCACACACTCCATGGGTTGCGCAGACGCAAACAAAAATTGATTATTTCAACAGTGTTGCCAATACGGCGCAAAAAGCGCAGTAACTATGCATCTAAAATTGTGATGATACCTAGCACAGTTGAGAGAATATTACAATGTAATATTCTCTCAACTGTGTACCTAGTGACCGCGTTCAAAAATAAATAGTTTGAAACCATCAGAAGCACGCGCGGTTTCACAGAATTCGATAGATCTGTACAGTTCCTATGAAACTGCGATGGTTTCGGTCTTTTAATTCTTTGAACTTGAACTAACTACCCAGCGGGCACAAACATCCCTGGGATGTTTTGGGATGTTTTGAAAATGTTGGCATGAAGATGTTATTCTGAGACGTAATATGCACTGACCAAAGAGGTCTTTGAAGGATATTGAAGTATTGTTTTTGTTCTGTGGCATTTCTTTGTTTGCATGCCTACTGAGAGGTATCCCTGGGATGTTTCGGGATGTTTCAGAAATGTAGGCATAAGGATGTTTTTTTGAGGCGTAATATGCACTTCCCAAAGACGTCTTAGAAGGATATATTGAAAGTTTTGTTTTTGTTCTTTTGTGCCCTTCCTTTGTTTGCCCCACCACAACGTCTCATGCTTACGTCACAATACGATGAATTCTGATTTGTTTTCGATTTTGTTCTTCTTGTTCGCAATTGGCATTCGCGTTTGCAGCGTGTCACGCTTACATCACGCTGCTAACGAACAGAAAGGAATTTGGTGAAGTTTATTGTGTTAGAAGACTTGTTTACCATCAGATGCAAGATGTGTTGTTCGGTGCCTCAGTGTAATCAATATATAAAAGTACGAATTCATCAATACACAGCTTCTCCGCAGTTGCAAAATTATGCATTGTGGAGAACATTTCAAAAATTGGGAAATCTATTTCCAATTATATGTCTGTGTGTAGTAAGCACTACTCAGAAACCGATTAAGAAGGTAATTTCATATCAAGAAAATATTTTTATGTTCAATCTATTTTTAATGCATTTTTTCATTCAAGGGAAATGGAATCCTAATGCAAAAGTTCATTTTGACAAAAGGCTTCAGAAAAGTACCTCGAAAATGTTTTTTTACAGCGATTAAATATTCACAAGACGCATTGAAAATGTTCTGCTGTGTCCATGAAAAGGCTTTAAAAAAAACTAGAGAGAAGGTTGTTTTGTGACATATCAAGGACATCTCGATAATTGCCGCCTGCGGAGGACATTGGCTGTTCTATAATAGTTCTATTCATGTGTGAACAGAACATCGCAGTGGAGGTTCAATGTCTCGAAATCTCGTACTCTTAACATCTCTGAGATGTTTTTGTGCTCGCTGGGTAATTGAGTTCATCAGTGCTCTAGTTTGACTTATTTTTTCAATCAGATATTGCGCTTGGCGCTATTTGTTGTTTTGTTTAACACCGGCAACACCGTAAACCCGTTGCTTTGAGCCAGCAAGAGCCAACAGCCAAGCAAATATACAAATCGAGAAATAGTCCAGTATAGTATAACTTGTACATTTTGGCCATATTTTCTTCCAAATGGATAGAATACTCAAACAGCTCGAAAGTGTTCATTTAAAAGAAAGGAGAGAATTATTCGCTCCTGTGGAAATTGAGAAAGATTCTTCATTCATAAAAGATTTATTCCGCAATAGCAGAATGTACAATGCGTGGGATAACGTTAACTTCCACACTCCATATTCCCGAGTCAAAGTAGGCTCATCTTCCGAAGAATATAGGGAAGTTATTGAGGATTTCGAGCATTACTTGTCAGCAGAGGTGCAGAAGATTGTGAGGGTCCAGAATCCCTTTCTCTATCTACAATACGAACTGAAACTGGAACAGAAGAAATACCGGCACGGCAGTGTCAAGGAATATCATCTCTACCATGGCACGAAAGGTTGCAATGTCAGATCCATTTGTCGAGAAAACTTCGATTGGCGTGAACTTGGAGCTAGTGGCTTTAGGCCAGACAAATTTGGCAGAGGGATTTCTTTCTCACCATCTTCCAATTATGCTTCGGATTATCCAAGACGTTGTAATGAGAACCCACGAGTTATGTTTGTGGCAAGTATAATGGAGGTGTCAAGATGCAAGGGCAAGAATGGTATGTTAATTCCCCCCCTACCCCACGATACCTCTGCAGACCTCAAGCATAATAATGTGGTGGTGAAATATTTTGATAATGAATTCTATCCGGAATATATAATATATTATAATTTTTATTAAGAGTACATTTCAGAAAATATTTTTTTTTTAGATAAAAGTTAGGTTATTAGTTCCACTATCAACCACTATTTACTTGGTGAGTTACCGAGATATTTTTGTTGATGTTATACAGGGTGAGTCATGAGGAACTGTACAGGGTGATTCACCATAAATGTCCCCCCATTCAGCTCAGTTATTTTTGAACCGATTTCAAAATTTGAAATATCATCTCAAATAATTTTCGATAAAGTTTTTTTCTGCTACATCAGAAGATACAGGGTGCTCGGAACAAACGATCTACAGGGTACTATTTAATTTTTTTAAATGGAACACCCTATTTTTCATTGTATTTTTAGATTTTCCCAGAAGAGCTGATTTTATCGATGTATCACACTCAGGGTCAAGCGGGAATGATTACAGAGATATAGGGTGTTAAAAATCGAGATTTCCAACTTTGGGATTTTTTTGTGACGAAACTATTCATTATCGGTCAAAACGGCTTCCATGTTCGTACCACAACTCTTGATTTACTATCTACTGACATTTAATAATGGGAACAGATACAGGGTGATCAGAATTCTGAATCTTGAACCACCCTGTAAATGATCCAATTAAATGTCACTAGATAGTAAATCAAAAGTTGAGATAGGGACATGAAAACCTTTTTGACCAATGATGAATAGTTTCGACAGAAAAAAATCCTAAAGTTTGAGAAATCTCGATTCTGAACACCCTATATCTCTGTAAAGATTCCCGCTAGACCCCAAGTGTGATACATTGATGAAATCAGCTATTCAGGAAGAATCTGAAAATTCAATGAAATACAGGGTGTTCCATTTGAAAAAATCAAGTAGTACTCTGTAGATCGTTTGTTCCGAGCACCCTGTATTGTCTGATGCAACGGAAAAAAAATTTTGAAAAATCATTTCAGATTATTTTTCAAATTTTCAAATAGGTTCAAGAATGAGTGAGCTAGAGGGGGGGACATTTATGGTGAATCACCCTGTACATACTCCAACCACGAATAGAGGCCCCTGAGGAGAAAACCTATAATGTCCATCAGGAAGTGTCTTTCTCTCTTTACAAATATACAGGGTTCGTCATTAGTGTGGCAAAGTGAGATAACTGCTTTACTATTTGAGATAGATGAATAAAAATTTCACAGATGATCTAGGATCATGAGCAGCAAATATCCAAATTATTTCGCTTTACACAGGGTAACTCAGAAATGCGTGGCGTATTAAAGTTATACTTTTTCTTATGGAACACCCTGTATTTCATTGTATTTTCGCATTCTCCTTTGTGAGCTGATTTCATCATTGCATCACACTTGGGGTCTAGCGAGAATGATTACAGAGATATAGGGTGTTCAAAATCCAGATTTTTCAAATTTAAGATTTTTTTGCGTCGAAACTATTCATTATTAGTCAAAACTGCTTTCATGTCCCTATCCCAACTTTTGATTTACTATCTACTGATATTCAATTGGAACAGATACAAGGGTGATCAGAATACTGAATCTTGAACCACCCTGTATTTGTTCCAATTAAATGTCGGTAGATAGTAAATCGAAAGTTGGGATAGGGACATGAAAGCCGTTTTGACCAATAATGAATAGTTTCGACGCAAAAAAATCCTAAAGTTGAAAAATCTCGATTTTAAACACCCTATATCTCTGTAGACCCCAAGTGTGATGCATTGATGAAATCAGTTCACAAAGGAGAATGCGAAAATGCAATGAAATACAGGGTGTCCCATAAGAAAAAGAATAACTTTGATACGCCACGCATTTCTGAGTCACCCTGTATAAAGCGAAATAATTTAGAAATGTGCTGCTCATGATCCTAGATCATCTCTGGAACTTTTGTCTATCTATCTCAAACTGTAAAGCCGTTATCTCACTTTGCCACACTAATGACTCACCCTGTATAGGGTGAATTATGAGATTTTGCAATACATCTTTGGGTCATAACAGCTTCTCAGATTTCATGAAATAGTTTGCTACTACTCTCTAATCTCATTCAGAATCAGGAAAATCCAGGACCGTTCTTGAAAAATTGTGATAGGTAGTTTAGTTTACAGCAAAAAGTTCATCCTGTATATCTATTTTGTAAAGTGTGACAGGAAATTTTAAAAGTTCACAAACGAATATCAAAAATGAATTATTCAAAATTTCCTCACACTTTCACTGCATTTTGAAAAAAATAATAAATTTCATGAAAAAACGAAAGTTCAGCAGAAAATGTTTTTATTTGGAAAAAAATAATTCGCAACCCATAAATTTTACGATTGAAAGAAAGACTTACATTTTCAATGCTTCAGCTCAATGGAAATCAACATATTATTTTATTTTCAGACATGGATTTAGTAATTTAATTTTTTTGTGGAGGATAATAATCATCCTATAGATCTTTTTGGAATCAGTGGATGGGATATCTGTAAAGATGGTAACGACCATAGCTATAAATAATTCTATGGTTTCAATTCATAGTTGCATCTATTCGATTTGTTTTATTCAGTTAATTTGGTCACTTATTTGCCGTTCTAGAATTATCCTCCTTTGTCAGTATAGGTAGCATTTTAAAAATAATTGTGAATAAACCTATAAGTATGTTTTGTTCGACTATCTTGAATTATTTGAATCGATGACCATTAACATCCAAGCATATACGCCATCCTCTGATTCGAAAAAGATCTACAGGGTGATTATTAGATTATTACCCTCCACAAAAAATGAAATGACGAAATCCAGGCCTGGAAATGAAATAACATGACAACATTTTGATGAAAAATAAACTATCAAAATTTTTCAAAAACGGACCTGAATTCAACCGATTCTGAAAATGTCAGTCGATTCGGGCTTAGTAGAGAAATATTCCATGAAAAAATCGGTCGAATCGCAGGAGCTGTTGGAAAGTTATGACCAAAATATGTTTTTGTCAAATCTCATAAATCACCCTATATATTGGTGAAGAAAAGAAGAAGACAATTTCTGATGGTCATTAGGTATTCCCCTTAAGGACCTCTATTCGTCATAGGAGTATGTACTGTTCCTCATGACTTACCCTGTATATCTTTTTATGTAATAGGACAATATATTATGTCACATCAGGGGACGTCCATTAGAAATGTTACATTCCATATTTCAATATATAGCATCTTTAATGATATTGGAAACCAGTAGAGCAGTTTTTATAGTTGATTGATCAATTGTTGTACAACACAGTAGTTCTTTAAGTTTTTTATATCGTACATTGTTCAGGTTAGGTTCTGTTAGGCTGAATTTGGTTATGATAGGTTGATAGGTGAGGTTAAGGTTTGTTAATCTGTGGTTAGGCTATGTAAGGATTTTTTTCCAATTATATACGTACATGTACAATGTACAGAATGAATAAAACATTTAAAATAAAAAATATATAGTTACGTCCAATTTTTCCAAATGGCGAAGACTGGTATAAGTACTTTTTTCCACTACTAACCTGAGAAATCACCATTATTCAAGCATTTACTTCGATGAGAAGTGACACTTTTTTAACCTAGGTAAAAAATGATAAAGAAATTTTACCTAGGTAAATAAAACTGTCAATAGTGTCAATGATATGAAGTATACACATGTAAATACCGATGCTTATGCAACCAATGAAACATTAATTATTAGCCGAAACGTAAAACAAATATAGTTAATACTGCAAAATTCACTGCAGCTGAAGACGATTTCTGGAATTAGTATAAAAAATGTTCGGGATTATGTAAATTATTAAATTCTAAAAATATCACAATTCATATTGAGCTGCGCTGTCACTGTCATGCGCTAATTATTAGAGATGGATATCGACTGAGAGAATATGTTCGATTGATATGATTTATTACGTAGGTACATCAGGTAGCGTGGTAACAGTAACATCTGCGTTGTTCATGAATAAGGTTAAATATTTCAAATCATTTCAAAACACTGTATTTTAAATATATACTTGCGATATTTATCAGTATCGATATTCTGATTCCGATTCCGTATACGCATGCGTATACGTGACCGAACGCATCTCTAATCTATGTTTATGATATCGATATCGTTGACACGTTGACCTTGACCCGTTTCGTTTCGTTTGTAAATAATCACAATGCACCAACCATTCTACCTACCACTTATCACGGGATATTATCACTAGCGGCTAAATTCAAATTCAAAAGGTTCCTCATATTTTTAATGCAACCAATGAAATAATATCTACCTATATTATTATAGGTAGATATTAGTTAATTCTGAAACAGCAAGGATAAAGAACACTAGGATTATCTAAACCTATACCTACCTCTACATCATGAAATATCAACATCATAAAGTTTACTTCCTAAATCCTAGATATTATAATTAGGCCTGCAGGTAGGTACTTACTTATTAATCATTATACAAAAATGTACTTATTAATATGATATCGATATACCTATCTACCTATGGATTGTCTATTTGAAATTATAGTTGATGATGGTACAATTGTGGCATATCATGTGAATTCCTGCATTTTTTGTATTGATTGAATTGATATTATTGACAGGTAAGTTAACCTCAGAATTATGGATAGTTGTTGTATTTTGATAATATTCATCGTGACTTGGCTCACAATGAAAATCATCAGCATGGAAGTTTTCTTCTAGGAAATTATCGCGTTGAGCAAAGGAAGTTGAAGGTAAATTTTGATGTTCATCAAATGAGGCTTGATTTTCTTTTTGCACTAAATTGGCAATTCTTTTTTTGTCCGCTATTGACTCCGCAATATATCCTTCTGCGACAGTAGCTGACTTCCATCCACCATGCCTTTTTAGACTTAGTAAGTCTCCACCATTTTCTGCCAAAAGTGTGGCCGAGCTACGCCTCAGAGAATGACCGGTATAACATTCAGGACTTTCTAATCTGAAATATTGAGCAACTGCATAAGGTACTTTACTGATAGTATTATGCCCAATATTTTGTCTGGCATGTTTACCTTTACGGTATGATATAAATAATTTTTTAATATCAGTTGGCCTGTTAGCTAAGTATTTTTTGAGTACATTACTCCATTCTG